GGAGCACCCCAAAATAATTACAGTAGTAACACCAAAGATCACTGATCATACATCACCATAACATGTCTGATAATAATGATAAAGTGTGAAATATTGGAAAAACTACTGAAATGTGAGACAGAGACATGAAGTGAGCACCTGCTGTTAGAGGAATGGCACTGATGGTCCTGGGGGATACAGGTTTGCCACAAACTTTCAATGTTTAAAAAGCATAATATCTGACAAGTAAAATAAGTCAAAGCATGATAAAAAGGTATGCCTGTATATATCAGGGACTGTCCTAAATAGATTGTATATGTTAACTCAATTAATCCATAGTGATCCGAAGAGGTAGACACTCTCATTTTTTTAAGTATTATATTTAAGAAAATTGAGGTATTTAGAATCTTTTTCATTGTATCGGGTTATCAGATGCTTATAATTCTAAAGGGAGGAAGAGAATGATATGAGAAATAAATGAAAGATAAGTTTTGAAAAGACATACATGGAAAAGCCGTATTACAGAGCATTTAAATATCCTTTTGTAACCTATCTTTATTTCTCTGCTGTCAACTCCCACGAATCCCCTTATATTTTACACCATAATCCCGCTATGTTGAATGCCTTTCAATTCCTCAAATAAACCTTTTTTGCTCTTAATTCTAGGTGTTTGGAACTGCTATTTCTTTAACCTGGAATACTTTCTTCCCACAAGCACCAACATAGTTCCTTCTCATTATTCTAGACAATTTAGATGTTACTTTTTTTTTTTTTTTTTAGGAAGCTACTCTTGACATTCCCGGTGGCTTTCTGGCCTGTGCTGAATTCTATCCCTTGGCCTTGAGCTGACATAGCACTCTCTGTTCTTCTTTCATGGAGACTACCACACTTTTGGTGCAATTGCATGCTAAATTGTGTCTTTCTCCAGACTTAAACATTTTTGAGGACTGAGATCTGGTCCAGTTTATCCATTATGGTGACTCTGTATTAATACAGTTAAAGAAAGACCTGGATAAATATTTTGGGGGATTTTGGGTTTCTGTATGTAATAATAAAAGTAATTTTTGAGATGATCAGTGATGTATACATATCTGTATTTTGGAAAAATAATATTTTTGGTGTGAAAAAAGAGAAAGACTTGATAAAAATACAGAGAAGGAGGTGAATGCTGGGACATTTCAAAATTTATACATGTGGTGGAAAAGTGTATGTTTTATTATTAGGTGCTACAGATTTAAAGGCATTTTTATTTGTTGCTTTTGAGCCCAGAATATGCTTATCTTTATTTTGGTTATTGCACTTGATTTTTCTTTTAAGAAACATATTTTTCCATTTTAAACCATAACTCAGGCTTGGGCCAGTAAGTTTCTAGGACAGAGATTGTTTCAGAAATATACATAAAACTAAAGGCCGTGAACATTACCCCTGGGGACTTTTCTACATTGCTGCATAAAATGCCTACCCCTTTTTTGTCAGATTAACCAACCTGATGGAATGTGAGCCTGAATCTACCTATCTGCCAGTAGTCACCATTCTTACTCTGTAATTGGAGTTGGCCTGATGGTATTTCCACAAACAGTACAAAGTAGAATCAAGGGACAGAGAGATTTGATGCCCCTTCTGACATTGTATAATTCCTGGACCCATACATATCAAAGATCATATGGCTTTCCTTGACTTACTCATTACAGGTGTTAGTAAATGCCTTTTTGTTTTTTGCTTAAAATAATGTGAGTTGATTTCTTCTTACTTACAACCAGTAAAGATCTGTCTAAGGTAAGTTAAGGAGTGGTTAAGAATGGAGAAACGCCATTTCTCTGAAATAAGAAGAAAGAAGAAAGACATAAAGGACATTACGAAGCAATTTTTCAGGATTCATGCTTCATTCTTTGTTGCAATGTTTTTTCCAGAATAACATTGAAATTACAATATAATTGTAATATACTGCTGTCACAATTTTTCTAAATTAATTTCATTTATAAAACATATTGGATGTTAATTTCATACCATTTTTGCCTATAAAGATAAATTTTCTAGATGTCTGAAATGCATTCTTTTTCTATCATTGTTTCACCCAGTTATATTTTTATCCATTCAATGTTATTTTTGTCTCAGTGCTAATTCTACACTTTGTGTATACATCACCTTATTACATTTTGACAACTGATATATTGAAGTTTACAGTTGTAAGTTATTGTAAGTTATTGTAAGTTATTGATAACTGTGTGAATTCCTGAGTTTATCTAACACACTAAATACTAATACTATTAACTACTTTTGGTTTTGCTTTTGATGATGCTGTACGTACACATTTTAAAATGTATAAACACATACTTTTTAACCTCATATTTAGAAACAAGGATTGTAATATAATAAATATTTTTTCTCAAATAAGTGCATTTTTCAAAATTTTAAATTCCCTTAATTTTTAATCATGAAAAACATAAGTGGACATTTTATTTCAATGAAATAAATTCATCACATATCTTTATTGTTTTTCACTTCTGTGGATTGTAGAATATAATTTATTGACTTCACCCAAGTAATATTCAAGCCTTCATTAGATAATATTTAGACATTTCATATACAAAAAATAAGATTTTGTTTCTCATTAGGAAGGAAATACGAAAAATATTGCTCCTCGTGCTTTTAGCAAGTTTTCCGTAGAGTTGATAGCACTTTGGCATAATTGGCATTTATAAATAATTTTAACTATATTTTCTGTCTCTGAAAATGAACTTCATTTAGTAATAGTTTTTGATACTTGCATAATATATATGGAAAATATATATAAATTATAAAGCACAATACTGTTATGAAGTTAGATTATTATGAACTATCTACTCAATCTAAGAAATAGAAAATTTACAGTAATTGAGTCTGTCGATTAGTCCCTTCCCTAATCCTTCCTCTACTTCCTCCCATCAGATACTCTACATGATTTTGTAAGTTAAATATGCCCAAGAAAACAGCAAAATTGTATAATTTAGGTAATTATATAACTTCTAATTTAGTGTTTCTTAGAACAACTATTATATGGTGGATAGAAAAGACATATTATTGTGAATTTACATTTAATTTTTTTTTATTTTTTAAGAGAATACACCATTTTTAAATGATCGGAAATTCAGGGTTTTCATTTCTCTACATATTGAATCACACTATGGAATTTATAGTAACATAATAACAAAACAATGACTTTCTCTTGACTTTAGGATAGCTTGTGAATAGCAAACTTTGAAATATTGGAAAATATATTACTTTTCTAACTTATGTTGTATATTGATATTCTTTGGAAAATTTAACAGGCATGCAGTTCCTGGTTTAATGCAAATCATATATTTGCCCTCAAATTTTATAAATTCCTGAGTGTATAAAGTGCTTGAAGTTAAACACGGTCTTAGATTTTTAATCTAAGAATATGTTCTGCTTTATCTGCCAAAGTAATTTGAAGGAAACATTTTGCTTTGACAATGAAGTGTTCAAACAGCCAGAAATCTAAAAAGAAATCTGCAAAATGTATAAAACTTAAAAATTAAACGGATTCTTTTTAGTTCTGATCTATATCTTGGGATTATTCATGTCACCTTTAAGAAATTTATGAAGGATCTGATGACTTTCTTACAGTATGTCTTTATTATTTTCTAATTATGTGCATTGTGGAAAATTCTCTGTCGATTATTCCCATGTCATCAAGGAACAATGTTACTCAATTACATAACAACATCATTCATTCAGTGAATGGATATTTTATTAAAACCTTATTTATTAAGCTCATACTCTCTATCAGGCTCTATTCCAGGCTCTGGCAATCCAGTGGTGAACAAGACAAATATGTTCCCCTTTGGAGCATATATACTCTTAAATTTGCTAGTATCAGCAAATCTATCCAACTATTTTTTTTAAAATTCTGTATTAAAGCAGTAATATAACTTCCAAATAGAAAATATCATTTTTAGTTTAAAATTTTATCTGAATTATTCTTAGTTTGTAAAGTCTAAATTACCTCTATGTTAGGCCAACAATTACTTTTGGAAACATTATGTCATTTATTGTGTAATGCATTAGAAGAAATCAAAGGTGTTAATGATATTCAAGAAATATGTAGAAACAGTCTCACGCAAAATGTTTGAATTAATATAGGTATGATTCTAAAAATGTAGATCTTTATTAAGCTAATTTGAGAGAGTAAATAGGAAGTAATAAGAATCAATTAAAATATTAATACTATAACTTAATTTTCTGGTCTATGTGGGAGATTATACTTTCTAGACTCAACATTAAGGATAATTTTATTTCCTAGACATCTTTAAAGAATTCATAGTTATATTCTGAAGAACTGCATTGAAGAGAAGTAGATTTTAATGCTTACTTGCACTTCACATTCCTGCTTTTATAATTTTTATGAATTCTCATTGAGGCATATACATATTCTTACTTAATTATGTCTGTGACTCTATATCCCTTGGAAAAGTGGCTAAGTAGAAAGATTCTTATTATGATACTGGAAAACTTTTCTGCATTATGTGATATAAGAATCACAAAAGATTCAATAGCTTATGAAAATTTAATTTGTTAGTGTTCAACTTGTTTCAGACGTGGTAAAATACGATCAAAGTGATCTAAGTAGAAATTTTTTGTTTGGGAAAAAACAAGTATAATTGCCTCATACTTCAGAAACACAGAGCACATATACACATTAGTTAACTGTTTATAGAATACTTTCTTCATGTAGATAATTTGGTTGGCTTAATGTAAAAGAAAAAGAAATTGATTTAAAAACATGAAAATAATTATAGAGTCTAAAAATGGTGGCAATCCTTTCCTTTCCTCTGGTTCCATACCCTTTGACGTGTAACTCTGTGATCCTTGTAACTAAAAAGTCAGAAGTTTTCAGAAACTATGAAATTAACCTAGCCTTTTAACTTGTTTAGCCAATAAGATGTTGATATGATTGTGCGCTATCCTTGCTCTATGCCTCAAAGACAATGTGTGTTTCTCTTGTGCCTTTGCCCTTGCAGTCGTGAAAGCATGGCCAGGCTGCTCTGGTGCAGGATGAAAGACAAGGAACTGAGCTGACTCAACCCAGTCACCCCAGTGCATTTTAACAGCCATGGAACATGCAAAAATGTGAGTTGACCCAGGTGAGAACAGCAGTACTGCATAGCTGATGACTGCAGATGGATGAGCAAACAACTATTACACATTGTAATAGTTATCTGGGGTTTTGTAGTTATTTGTAGTTATATGGATGATTACTGTGGCCTTAGCAATTGACTTAAAACTATTTAATATTTTCAACACCTACTTTAAATTTTTAAGGGTCAAAGTGCAAACAAATTAATTACCTGAAGAATGCTCATATAATCAGTCTTTCAGATTTTGTATTCTATGTGGTTGAATCATAGTATTTGTTTCCTTTGCATAATATGTTTCCAGATTTGTTCTTCAACAACTAAGCAATAACTTATCAGTAAAGGGTGAAATGAATTAGTGACATAAGAAAAAAATTAATAAAAATGTATATAAGCCTATGAAAGATTGCAAATGAATACAATCCCTCTTTTGGAATGAAATGAAGTTTGCCTGAAACACAGAACAATTTATTCTTGATTCACATTTCCTTTTTTTTTAACTAGATTATTTTCCTATTCTAGACAGAAGTAAATAATAATAGGTTCAAATATGTTTTAATTAGAATACTTACAGTTAGAGAAAACCTGGTTCTGATATGTCTATCTTTTTAGATTTTATTCAAAAGTCACAAATGCAACTAACATGAAAATTAATTAAATTCATGTTATTTCATTCATATATTAAAAAGATGAAAATGTAATCACAGAGATATTCACATGATGGATTGAAATGGCAAAAAATGCAATTCAAGTTTTAAGAACCAATAATTACGGGGACTTCATGTCCACATTTCTGTTTAACTTTGGATTCAGCTTTCTGAGTATCATCTCAAATCTGGTAATTACAAACTACATTTGTAAAATATTTCCATGAAATATTAATAATTAACCCATTGGAGAGCTCTCCTTTAAACCCTAAACTACATGTGAGAGAGTTTATCAGTGTTGACCCCTGTAATTCTATGGTGGTTCAAATAGATACATAATTTTAATTTAGCTCAACTGATTGCAGAAATAACATTATTTTATTCAAAAACAACCAAATAGATAGTTCAAAGTTCAAAGCTATCTGAAGAAACCTGTCCTCTCTCTAAGTCAAAATTTCTTTCAGGCTGTTATTTTGGTAAGGAACCTACTACTCAAGGGTTGACATTAGTTTGGTAGTGAAAATAGTAGATAATAAAAATGCTTTATTTTCAGATATATACCAGTGAAAACTATTTTCTCTCTGTTTTTCAATCTCTTCTCTTTTTCATTTATCTTATTCTTAAAATTTTGGCTATAAAAATGTTTTCACATTTCTTCTTTTTAAAAATAGCCATCTCATATGTATTTGGTTTTCGGCACTTTTAAAGCATTTGCCAATTTCTACATTGCTATGTGATTACCCCTTCTGACAATTCCTTGTTTTCCCTTTGGATTGTGCTGGATTTTTATGCTTTGCTTAGCTATCTTAAGCATAATGTAGACTAATTCAAAAACTACGTCATTTTTATTTGTATGTTGGCAAAAAAAAAAAAAAAAAAGAAACCTATTAGAAATGCTAATGCTTGAAATTTAGAAAAGGAATTATTTTCATTCATAATTTCAAAATTATTAGCTAATTTAAACAATGCTTCTTCAATATCTTGTTATAGTTACAAGTTACAGTCATGTCTCATAGGGCTCTTAGATCTATAATAATAATAATAGTCATCATTTATTATTTCTTTAATCCATTCTAGGAAAAGTGTTAAATCAATTATTTTATAAAGTTGATCTTACAGAGTTATTCTTATTTTAGAAATGTGGCAGATGAGGCTTAGAAAGGAAGAGCGACTTTACAAAATTTATGGCACTGTTAAGTAGTAGAGGTAGGGTGGCTGATTCTAGAACCTATTTATACCTATTATCATCAATCACCACTGAATTTCCATAGTTTTTTTTTTTTTTTCTGTTAAATTTCAGCATCATTTCTATAGCCTTCCAAACAAATGTTGTATTTAGGTTTTTCTAATATATTCATTTTATGAATTATAAGCCAGGAAGTCTTTATTTTTGTAGCATTTTTCATAGTATATTATAGCAACAGCCTCAATTGCAAGACTCTCAAGTGTCAGTGTGCTATTTCTGGCTGGCAATATTCACTAAAAAAAGGCCAAATGGAAGTTGTAAGATTATGCTAAATTAGGAAAGAATAAGTTTCTGCATATTTTCAAGCTGCAAAATGATGCAGAAGAATGTCTTTAAATGTTGACATTTAAAAAAACCCACCATATGCAATAAATATAATGTCATTCAAATAGACAATGTTTAGTTTTTCAATTAATGATTTTCATGCCAGAGCAGACCCATAGCATTGCTTGACTAATTTTAATAAAATTTACCAGAAATCAAAAAGGTTGCTCTAATCCTAGTTTCATCATGAGCTAGATTTAAAGAAAGTCATTTGATTGTGTTAGAGCCTCAGGGCCTCATCTGTAGAATTGAGGTTGTTATAATCTCTGTACTTAATTATCTGTCACAAGTATATAGTCTATTCAAATCAATTCAGTAACAGGAAGTGATCATCTACCATGGGCAAAATTTAGAAACTACATAAATGAATAAAACTCTATACTCATCTTAAGAATTTCATGGTCTCTGATTTCAGTAGACATTGAAGTACATAAGTGCAATCGCCTCCCAGCTGCCTGTTACAGATCTTGACCTCCCATGTTTTGAAGAGTGATTTGTGCAGCTTCCTCACTGGCTCTAAGAGAAAGTACTGTCTGGGATTTCATCTCATTTTTCTCTTTGTACAGACTAAAATGCAGATGATTCGCAGCTCAGTGTGGACCACGCCAGAGTCCAATGGCCAATGATGGCGTACGACGTCCAACAGCAGAGCAAATGATGGAAGGTATCACTCCCTGAATGACCTCACAAAGCACAGATGCCTGTTTATCCAAAACTAACTGAACTGTTTCATGAGAGAAATGCACTTACTTGTGTCTTTTTGTTATAGCTATCCTAAATTATCTTTCACCTTAATTAATACAATATTTGAACTAGTACTACCAGATGACAGAGAATGGAGAAGAAGAGAAGTAGGAACTAAGGTTGACGATATAGTAAGAAATCCAGACCTTTAAGAGGCTCAGATGTCATTAAAAATATTATGAAGGCAAATAAAGTCAAAAGTGAAAAACAATTTTAACTATGAAAAAAAGCAACTTTTTTTTTTCATTTGTAATTTGCTTCAAATGGCATAAGATGCCTGGTAGAGAGGTCAAATGATAGTTCAGATATAGGATGACACCCTGAAGTATTCACCATGAACTAGGCAGGCAAGAACATTTCATCTTGCCAGTTCCCACAGAAAATACCAATATGTTATGTTGACATGCTCCTGCTGAACTTATAAATCTTGGAAAACTAACTTTTAGCACAGTGAAAGGGACAAGCCATCCATGGATAATATGATAACTAGTATAATTTTGCCCAAACTAATAATTCCAACAGTAATCCAATTTAGAGATTGGGACATTCAGTTCCGAAAGTTATGGCTTTTACCATACAGTGGACTATCATTGTCTGGCTTTTTGCTATGTGAAGAAATCAACTCCAAGTATCAGTCAGGTAGTGATCATTTGCAGATTCACTCAAGTGAAGGCAGAGTTAAAACTTTTCTCCTTGCACATTCTCCTACACAGTTTTCTTTGTGGTCCTCTACAAACAAGAATAGTGGAAAAAACAAGGGGAAGTGAACCTACCGTTAAGTGGATGTATAGAGACTCCCAAATTATCACTTCTCTTCTTAAAATAACAAATTAAAGCTAGGAAAGTATATAGAACTGTTTACAGCAAAACTTGTTTTCTGTTTTCCTCCCAATATGACAATTTCCCTCTCCATATTTAGAAATTTCTAAGATAAGGTGGCCAACCATCCTAATTTGCCCAGGACAAAGGGATTCGCTGGATTTAGGGCTTTCAGTGCTAAAACCAGGCAAGTTCTGGGTAAAAAGTGAGAAGTTGTTTACTCTATTCTAGGGCAGAGAGAGGGAGAGCAATGTGATACATTGAGAGCATTGACAATGTCTACATTTACAATAATCTCATTTTTAAGTGTATTTCAGTCATAAAACCTTTGTTTACCCTTCTATTCTGAGCTTTGTGACACTGAGGCTGGGACTCTGAAGATTGCATTTTTCCTTTGTCACCCAATTCCATCTGTCACTAGCGGGGAACTAGAGAAGAAAGGATATTGGAACAGGAAGAGAGAAGAGATATGCTCCCTCCTATTTATTGGTGCTATTGTCAATATAGCCCAAGCAATGATCTTTCACCTGTGTAACAATAGCTGGTTCCAGGTTTTGAGACTTTTAAAATGAACTTCATTGTGTTCTCTCATGTGTATCCACACATGCTGGACAACACTATCTATCTCATCAATTTTAGCCCCAACCCTCTAGGGCCCTTCCTTGGAGCTCTTAACTTACTAGCATCAAGCAGTGCAGCAACCCTTCCTCAGAGGTTTGAGGGCAAGCTCTTCCTGGCCCCTCCCATAAGCTTCTAGATGCTGATCATTCTGCTTTCTACAGCTAGTAGCTGCTTCCTATGGTTTCTGTCTTTACATTTCCTCAATGTTCCTTTTTGCTTTATCAGCCCTCCACACATGAAACTAATCACTATATTAAATTCTCTTCTGAAGTATGTAGCATAATTTCTATTTCACTGCCCAAACCTTGACTGATGCAAGCAGTTATTTAAAATTAAAATAAAAATTTTTATAAGAAATATTATTAAAAGATTTCATACCTAAACTGTCAATAAAATATTTAATAGTTACAAAGCAACTGACTTTTAGCTACAATTGTTTATTGTATCAGGTTTCTCCCAAATATGATTATAATTTCCTAATAACTATGAGATCCTAGTGTCAGAAAGTCTAGTTGTAAACTTCAATATCTCATCAGATATTTGCAGAAGGAATTGAAGTAAATTTATCCTTTTAGCTGACTAATATAAATGTATTTGGCTTACTTTTAATAAAATATTAGAAAATATCCACTTGTTTTCTGCTGTTTAGTTGTAAAGATGAATAATTTATTTCTAGAGCACATTTAGGTTGTGTAGCTTATTTACTATTTACTGTATAAACATAAAAGAAACCAAAATAGAAAATTAAACAAGGCTTTATCCTGAGCTTTGTGACACTGAGGCTGTCGAAAATAGTGTATGATCTTTAGTGTTCGCTATTAAAAATTGTTTGTCTTATATATTCATATGGATATATTTTACCTTTTTCTCATAAGCATCTGTATAGGGTTAATTGCTAACATAGAGGGCCTACTACTCCAGACACAATTATAAACCTTTTTCTTATCAATTAATTTCATTACTCAGCCAAGGTAGAATTATTATTTCCATGCTACAATAGAGGAAATGGTGCACAGAGAGATTACATTACTTGCCTAAGGTCACAAAGATTGTCAGAGCTAGTAGCCAAACCTAAGCAGCCTAGATACGTAATGCATGTTCTAAACTACTGCAGTGCTGCTCCTTACCCAAGTGGACTCTATAATCAATGGTTTATATCTGTACATGAGCAAAAACATGAGTCAAAAACACTCATCATTTTACAGAATCATACTTCAAGTAGGCAAGAATGTACACAACAAAATAATGTCATTCATCTTCCATGAGAAGTAAACAAATACCTTTGTTTGAACTTACCGTTATTCTTTATGTAACAAATATTTTTGTTTCTGGTTTTCTATTATACTTACATTGTTCTACTGCAGAAGAAAATAAATACCACCAACTGAGATGGATCTCTTTTTTCAAGTTATGCCTATGAATCTAGTAAATATATATTTTGAAATTAATGGGACAGTTTACGTGCAATTTCTTCAAAGAGTGACTTTAGCTTGTTAGGAAATTGGAAATTTTTTAGAAAATTGCTTTTCAAGCAAAAGAATCTTTCATATATTTTTATTACCAAAGAAGGAACTTATAGCACAAATATACATTACTTAGTAAGCTTGATATAGCTATAACCTTAAGATCTATTGTATTATAGAATATATAAACATATTAGATACTAGATTTAAGATTATAAAACAAAAATAAGAAACTTAATTTTATTCAAAAGAAAAACTATTTACATTTCATTAGAAATTGATACTCATTAACCTTTTATATATTAAGTTTATGATCCATTACAAGTATAGATTAGAATTTTTTTTTTTCTGGTCTCCCTTTACAAACTATTCATTATTACAAAATTTTCATAGGAAGTTACTCCTAGAAAGCATGCGAATCCTAGGAATGTGAGGCAGTGTGACATCTAGGATAAAAGCAAAGGATTGCATATTCAATTGGTCTGGTTCACATTCTTGGATATTTCACTAAAAAGCATTGTGACTTGTGTGACTCATAGTTTTGTCATCTGCAAGTGATGAATGATTGCAAGAAGCACTTAAAGCCATTATGCCACACGTTCTTCTAAATGATAATAGCTATTTTATTGTTATGGATGTCTGAGGCTAGGGACAGTATAGAAGGCAAGATGGGATTTTTCTCACAATGTCACCTGAGTCCATGGATACTGAATTTAGAAGAAATAACTGATAAGAGACTGTGATTTTGGTCAAAAGTTCCATTCCCCACATTAGATCAGACTTCTGACTTAATGTGCTAGCCTTACATGAATTACGGTATTTCATGGATAATTGTGGAGCACTATCAAATATAACTAACACAACAATGATGGAAATCTGTGCTCTCAGATGTGGCTATTAAGTACTGAAAATGCAGTACTGCAACTTGGCAAATGGAATAGTTTTTATTTGATTTAGTTGTACTAATGGAAATTTAAGTAGCCACCCATGACTAGTGGCTATCACATTGGAGAGAGTGACATTACTGATTTGATTAAAGTTAAACAATGAAAACAGCTAAATGCCAGCTGATAATTATGCTACCTAATAGGGGAAGCAACAATGGTATTGGCCTATTTTACAGAAAACTCAGAGAGGTGAGTTCGAAAGTCACAGAGATGGTACATGGGGACTTCACTGGACACCTCAACTTTGAAGAGCTTCTATGTGGATAGAATATACCAGTCGTATTAGGAAAGATAGCAGAAAATGTGGAAGTCTTCTAACCTAAAATGAAACATGGTGACCAAAAAAACAACAACTCCTAAAAATCATAATACTCATATTCTAATGATAGGAGAGAGACAATATGCAAAATAAGTTAAACATATAGCATGAAATATCACTTTGCATATAAAATAAGCTTATATATGAGCATAGGTAATACATATTATATATGTCCTATATATATACAACTTCTGTATGAGTGCTGCTTTTATCACACGCTACAACAACAAATGACCCCAGGACTTGGATTAAATTTTCACAGAATCGCAGGAAGTAAGAGGCCTGAAGGATCATTTGTACCAAAGTTTTCATTAAATACTTAAATGTAAATAAAATCCATAAGCATTAATTAACTTACCTGAGGTCACCTAGGAACAGAATTGGAAAGAGAGACATCACTGATTTGAATAAAATTACAGAAAACTCAAGAGAGATAATTATTGTTCCAAGGTCACAGAGATGGTACGTGAGGATTTCATTAGCAAACTCCAATTTGACCCCAAAGTCTCTTTCTTTCTCTCCATATGAACTGCTTCCCCAGACACTGAATTCCATAGTTTTAGAGACCACTAGGGGTCAACATCAAATTGTCCCTGTGGAACTGTGAGCCCCTTTAGGTACAGCATCAGGGGCAAACCAAGAATCCACTCACAAGGAGAGATTAGTGAGTTGCTGCACAACAGAGGACAGAACTAAATGTTATGAGTTCTGTATCATAACAATGAGTAAAATAATATCAAGCACATTTAACTTAGTACCTAAGTAATTTTAGCTTTTTAGAAATGTTCCTGGATTAAATGAAAACTAATTATTTTCCAGGCAACCTAGAGGAATTAATATCCCTGGAACTGGTATTCTCAAAGTGATAACGATACTTGTTTTAGTTGTAAGAAAGTCTAGCAGTGACATGCTGAACATGGCATTTACTAGCTTGGCAGACAAGGCTGTTTAATTTTCAGGAATTTTTAAGGCTGGTTGACCCACCTTGGTAGCTTGAAATCAGTGATGGTAGCAGAATTTACACCTTGGAAAAGAACAAATGTTACAGATGATGAGCCTTCCCATTCTTGGCAAAGCCAGTTGTTAAACATTTACCAGTATATTACTGACCTTGAGATTCTGTGATTGGTGAAAATTGCCAAAAGCTATCTAATTATCAATGGTAATTGAATTATGAACTTGCTCCTGTTTATAATTTAATTATTTAATTTTTTCTATGGCTCTGTAAATACACTTTTCCACTTTTCCCCTTCTCTATCGAGAAAAATGCTACTTAATATTTGTGAGGGATTTTATTTAACTTCTTCAATTCATAGTCTCTACTCTCTTCTATTGTTTCTTCTAGTCTTATAGTCTCTTGCAATTTTTCATTTATTCCTTTTCCTTTGTTTTCCTGTATGTTAGTCTTCCTTTCCAAATAAGGGAATAATTATCTTCTAATTTATCTTATTATAATTATCTGATACATAGTAAACACTTAATAAGTGAAGGTTGGAAGAATCATAGAAAAAATGAAATACCTACTAAATGTTGGAAACTGTCCTAGGTACGAGGTATATGGCAGTGAATATCAGACTGAGTTCTTGTGGCAGATTGTTTTATTATTCCCAATTATTTGCCGCCCTCTCTCTAAGAGGAATATAGTCCTCACATACCGTCATATGCCTTGCAATGTACATCCAAGTAGGAATATATCATTTTCTGTTCAATGGACATCAATATTGGCCATGCCAGTGGCCTGTAAGCATAAGTCATGCATACCATTGTCAAGAAGAAATTTTAAGAGGCCATGTAGATTTCTACCATTACTCTTTTCTCTCCACCATGAGAGTAAAATGTCTCAGATAGTGGCTGATTCTTCAGTCTAGATTCCAGAATGAAGATTTGTAGAGCAGAGACTCAGGTGACCCACAGTTGATCCATAATGTTAACAAACATAAACCTTTGTTTTTAAGCCAGTGAAACTATGGGGTTATATGTTTCAACAAAATGACTGAGTGAAAGCTAACACAGTTCCTGACCTTTTGTGTAGTTTATAGACACAAAAGGAAAGGCATCAAATCTACTGAAACATTTCTTATGTTCGACTTAAGTTTAAATCATAAAGGAATCAACTGGACATGGAAACTTTACACACTGCAAATAAAACAGAATTCAGGTGTCTGAAGAATGCTAGGCATCTGGCCCATATTTCTTATGATATCTCCTCATTCTGGCCAAACTCACAGTTTCTTACATCTGTTTATTTGATGTATTTCTGTTTTTCAGAGACACTTTATGCAGATGCACGTTACTGAGATGAAGAGGAACATGTAAATTTGAACAACTTGTCACAGTTTAATGTAGTTCAGAAAGTTATATTCCTATTACACTGAGCCATTTTATACTTCTAAAATACTCATTTATTTTATAGATTTTGACGTAAGTAGCTTGTTACAGAAAAAAAAAAAATACATTCTACATATGAAAGAGTCATGGTTTGAGCCTATAGCCCAACTGAATTTCTGTGAATAGAGCCTTACAATGAGTCCAGTGTATAAGCAAATATAGGGATAAAACAGCAGGAGGCAATGCATACAACTTCCAGCTAGAAAGAATTTCTATAAGCTTACACCTCATACTCTATCCTCAGAGGCCAATGCACAACTGTTTCCAACAGCATGCTTCTTTGTTCTTTGTTTACCTCTGCATGCCAAGTTTTACATGTAAACTCAAAGCAATTTTTAATATGTTGTGGCCGCACAAAAGAACGCTCGACTTTTATTAAGTTACCTTCCTTATCAGGTAATTTTTTACTGTGTTACTGAGTGTTGAAATTTTTAAAAAAGTATAATTATATCCTTGGGAATAAACAAGGAAATAAAATCTGGGTAAAACCAAGCAATAGGAATAAGTACATGGTGGAGGATGATTACAAAATTCAATTTCAGATGTAAATTGAAAGGAAGAGGGTGGTGTCACATATTTTTATCTTACTTGGTTCTCACACAATTTTTAAAATCTTCTGTAAGCATAGGTTTGTAAAGTATTTCCAGAAAAAAATATTTCTTGAGCTCAAGATTTGTGTTTTTTTAATCTCAAGTGTAAAATATCTCATATATTTTAGTTAGAAAATATTTAATCAGTAACTTTTCTTTTTTCTTTCTTTTTTTTTTTTTTTGAAGACAGTTGTGCTCTGTCACCCAGGCTGGAGTGCAGTGGCATGATCTCAGCTCCCTGCAACCTCCGCCTCCCAGGTTCAAGCGATTCTCCTGTCTCAGCCTCACGAGTAGCTAGGATTACAGGTGCACATCGCCACGCCTGGCTATTTTTTTTTTTTTTTTTTTTTGTATTTTAGTAGAGACGAGGTTTCACTGTGTTGCCCAGGCTGGTCTTGAATGCCTGAACTCAAGCAATCCACACGCCTCGGCCTCCCAAAGTGCTAGGATTACAGGTGTAAGCCTCCATGCCTGGCCAACTTCTACTTTTTTAAAAAAGAATTTTATGTAATATCTGAAACTTAAAAGAGAATGTATGTAAAATATATGTAAGCTATGAGGTAGATTAATCATGTCTGAGGACAGACTACCCAACATGAACTAATCATCCCAAGATAATGCTGTTCCTACCATGCTGCTCCTGTCTTATCTCACATACCTGTTATCTAAGAAGGTAGTAACGTCCCTGGATTTTGGTCTATAATTTCGTGATCACGAATACTTTACTAAGCACCTCTTACTTATTTTTCAAACCTGTGTTTGAGAGAATGGCATGTGAAAATTTATATATAAAAACTTCACCTTTTTCCATCTTATACCCTACTTTAATGAAGCAGATTTAACAGATTATTATAATT